ATTATTAAAGATTTGAGTAAGGTGAATAAATGTGTGTGAGAAAAAGAGAGAAAGATAATGAAAAATAAAAGCAAGCAAGAAAGACAGAATTACAAAATAAAAATAAGTAAAGGGATGTGAGTATTATTAAAGGTTTGAGTAAGGTGAGTGAGTGTGTGTGTGTGTGAGAAAGATAGAATTATAGAATAATGATGGGGAAAGGGATGGGAGTATTATTAAAGGTGTGAGAGTGAGATGAATGTGTATGTGTGTGTGTATGTGTCAGGTATAGGAAGATCGTTAGCTTGAAGAAAAATTAGTCGTTTGTCGGAGAAGAGAAGTCTAGGGGGAACTTAAAGATGGGTCAATCAGATACGAAAACACTTGTCGGTTGAAGTATCGTCCAAAGGTAACAGGTCTACAAAAGATTGTAGACACAGGTATACCGTCCTAATGACTGACCCAAGGAATTCAAACCCTTATATCTGGGCTCTTGGTAGACCCCTCTCCTTGAATTTTTGTCTATCCTTTTTCTTTCTTTGATTTATCTTATGTTATCTGTTTTTTTCCTTCCTTTCTTTCTTTTTCCCTTTTCTTTTCTTTTCTTTTCTTTTTTTTTCTTCTATAGAAAGTAGTTTCTAATATCAAAGTAGCTAGAGCAGTTATCTAAGTTGTGTTAAGATAAATCAATCTTCCTAAATTTAATCTAGGATTTTGTTCTTTTTTCTTTCCCTTTTAGTATAGTGTAAGGTTTGTTTGTGTGTTATAAGGTTTTAAACGTTTTTTAACAATAAGAGTGTGTGTGTGTTGGGAAGTATGAATGATGTTGATGGATTATCCATTTGGTTGGTCAATTATGATAAGATATATTTGTCTTAGAATTTGATTGTTATACTTTTGACTAAAATGATCTTTAAATGTTTATATCTTAAGTTGAGGGTTGTTCATTTTCTATCTTTTTAATTATTTTCTTTTTGTTTTTTTGTGTATACCTTTTGATTATTTTATCTCTAGTCTTTATCTAATCTATAATAGTTTCTAATATCATGTGGCAGTTGTTTTATTTGATTCTTTTTTAATTGATCTTAAATTTATCCTTCCTCCAATTTTTTGTTTCTTTTTCTAGTGTCATATTTTAAACTAATATTCTAAATTATTATGTAAGTAGTAATGGGGATCATTCGTTTTTGATTGTACAATTATGATAAGATATATTTTTTTGTTTCAACTTTATTTTATATTCATAAATAATCTAAAGATGACGATATATTTTTCTTGATTTCTTTTCTTTGATTTATCTTATCTTATCTATTTTACAATAGTTTTTAATATAGTAAAGTAATAGTTTGGTGATAAGATATATTTATTTGAATTTTATTTTATAATTGTAAATCATATTAAGTTGACGATTGTTACTTTTAAAAATTTTTTTTTTATTATAATAAAAAAAAGTATAGTAGTGTGTAGTAATTATATAATTATTATAAAGTATGGATTATTCGTTTAGTATAAACAATTACTATAATAATACATTTGTTTCAACTTTATTTTATATATTATATAATGATGATAAGATGTATTTATTTGAATTTTATTTTATAATTGTAAATCATATTGAGTTGACGATTGTTACTTTTTTTTATCTTTTTTTTATTATAATAGTATATTAATAGTATAGTAGTAGTAGTAATTATATAATTATTATGAAGTATGAATTATTCGTTTGGTATAAACAATTACTATAATAATACATTTGTTTGAACTTTATTTTATATTCATAAATAATCTTAAGTTGACGATTGTGTCAATTTTCTATATTTTTCTTTCTTTTTTTTTTCTTTGATTTATCTTACTTTATTTATTCTATAATAAGTACATAATAGCTATATATATAGTAGTATTTCTAATATTAAAATAATAGAGTCATTTCATTATTTTTACAAATCTTCATTAAATTTATTATCAATTTTCTTTTCTATAATCTCATATATTTAAACGTTAGAATTATTATAAAGTACAAATCCTATTGTATTTGCAAAGACAATTACTCCTATAAAAGATATATATTTATTTTTCTTGTTTTTTTTTTCCTTTATACTCATAAATCATTCTAAAAGGTTTATCTCTTAAGTTGACGGCCATTACTTTTCTTTCTTTCCTTCGAAAGAATCTCATTTTCTTTTCTTTTCTTTTCTTTTCTTTTTTTGCACGGAAAAATGTATACGTTACCCGAAGTTTAATCGTTGATCATTTTTATGATTCATCAAAATGGAACTCTATCGGTTGAAGTGAAAAATCATGTTTACGGACAAATGGTTGTTCCCTTCCCTTCGGGATAGAGGGGGAGAGGGGGATGGTTAGGGGGATGAAAAGAGAGTTGAGTTCAGGGGTGTGTGAGATAATCGTTACAACTTAACGCTGTTCTCCTGTTTCCAATTTTCCCAGGGCGAAAAATCCTTCGTACCTTGCTTCCATCTTGTTTACCGTTTTAAAGAATTGAGATAAACCTTATGAGTCATTAAATTCAGATGAAAATATGGAAAACAAGTTTAAACGAGCTTGTGATTATTATATTTCTGTCGTTTTAAAAAACGTATCCATTTTTTAACGTTTAATCATATTTTTTTATTACAATGATTTTGTTTTCAATCAATTGCTGACTTGTTGTTTGTTCGTTTTTCTCCGGTCTTTCTAGATCTAATATGATATCGGTTTGTTTTTTAATCTAGTAAGTATTTTTCTTTGTACCTGTTCAAAGACAATTGTTCATAATATGAGTAAACTCATTTAATTAATAATTAAAACAAAATATCTATATTAGATTTCTAATTGTTGTTAGTTTTTAAATGTATGTAGAATTTAATTAGACATTTATTTTGTGGAAATTACTTCCTATTAAAAGTAACTAGGAAATAAGAAAGTTTAAAATATATTGAAATTCTAGTAACATAATTAAGCCGATATCGGTAATAGTAGTGCTCTATCTTTATCTTACCGACCGAGATTTGATGGTAACTTACTAAAGAATTATAACAGCATAGATTATCCATAATTGTTTGCCTTAATTATTAATTATTTTAACCAATTTTTAATTATCAATAACTTGTGAACTAATTAATAATAAAGACAATTAATTATGGATTAACAATGAGATTTTAGTGAGCCATAAGTTGCACATATTAGTTTTTTACTGCTGTAGATTTTCTATGCTGTCTTAATTCGCGTTGTGGGTTAAAATTAGCATCTTTTTTTATTATCAATAACTTGTGAAATAATTAATAATAAAGGCAAACAATTATGGATTAACAATGAGATTTTAGTGACCCATAAGTTGCACATATTAGTTTCCTACTGCCGTAGGTTTTTTATACTGTCGTAATTCTTTAGTAAGTTACCATCAAATCTCGGTCGGTAAGATAAAGGTAGAGCACTACTATTACCGATATCGGCTTAGCCATGTTACTAGAATTTCAATATATCTGAAACTTTCTTATTTCCTAGTAACTTTTAATAGGAACTACTGTACACAAAATGAATGTGTAATTAATTTTTACATACATTTAAAAACAAACAACAATTAGAAATCTAATATAGATATTTTGTTATAATTATTAATTAAATGAGTTTACTCATATTATGAACAATTGTCTTGGAACAGGTACAAAGAAAAAGATCTACTAGAATAAAAAAAAAACCGATATCATATTGGAACTAGAAAGACCGGGGAAAAACAAACAAACCAAAAATCAGCAATTGATTGAAAACAAGAAATAATAGAAAATTTCATTGCTTTGCTTAGAAATGAGAAAAAACATTTTTGTTTTTTTAATTATTAATAACTAATTAAATAAATATAATTGTGATATAGTGTGCAATTATAGTTTTTAAATGTGCAATTAATGTGCAAATAAGAGAATTTATTAATTTTTTTGCTGTTAAAGTTTCTTTGCCAGTGTACACAATATAACAGGTAAACAATATAAATCTTGAATCTCTAATTTAAAAAACTTGTAGATAAAGAAAAGAACAACGAAACAAAAAAAAAAAGAAAAAGGAAAAAGAAAAAACAACAAAAGTAAAAACATTTGACTGAGATATTATTAGAAATTTATTGATATATTTAAAATCAATAAATCATTTTTTTTCTTTCTACATTTAATACGATAAAATAATACACATTTTTTAAAATGATTAATTACAAATTATGCGTATATTTAACGTAAAATAAAAATATTATATATGTAAGAGAGAAAAATTTGTTCTTCTTTTTTTTATTTTTGTTTTCTCTCTCTCTTTTTTTTTTAACAACAATAGGAACTTTGCTATCTATTTGTTTTTGATATTTTTCTTTACTTTTTTTTTTTTTTCAGATAAATAAAATAAAATCTATATTATATTAATAATAATAATAATATTAATAATAATATTAATAATAAAATGCGGGATTATTATTATCACCATGGGGTGTGGGTGGGGTGTAGGTGGGGTGTAGGGGGCAACGTTCTACGTGTCTACTACGGAATGGTATTATTGAAATCACGCGGAATGACATTAATATCGGGTATTTGGAACACGTTGTAATGAAGCTTCGTGGTATTCCTCCAATACCTCATATACATACGTAGTTGTGCTCTTACTTGTATAATCTATATTTAAACTAACGACACACATCAATTGACCTCAATATTTTCCATCGTTTTCCCGCGGAATTTCGATTATGAGATTATATCGAAGAAAAAAAGGTAGGAAAAAAACAATTAGATAGAAAAAGAATATGTGTATGTGTATATAAGTGTGTACGTGTTTTATGTGTGTGTGTGTGTGTGTAAGAAAATATAGTTGCTCGATCAAACAAAACAATATCAGCAAAACTAAATAAACAAAAAATAAAAAGCATTATTATGAAACACATAAAAATGTATAATAATATGCGTGTGTGTGTAGGAAAAAGAAAAAAAGGTTGCTCGATCAAACGGAAAAGAAACAGAGAATTAAAAAAAAGAAAAACCAATAACAGGAAATAATGAAAATGAAAATTGTTAATAGTTTACACATGGGATTGGAAATGTTCGTAAAAGTCAGGGAAAATAATAAATGTTTGTTATGGTTTGTCGTAGTTGTTATGGTGGTAGTAGTAGTAGTAACGGGAATTGTTTCATCAGCGTTATATGGGGATTAATTTTTCAAAAGATTTTCATCCAGCCACGCTTCGATTACCGGAAAATTGTCTTTCCGCCAATTAATTTCCAATTTGATATTTTCCAATGCTTCTTGTACGATGCTATTGGCCGATTCAAATTGACCGTTACGATTTTGATACAATTCCGAGACCATGTCGTATCCCTGTTGTGTTTTAAACGAGGACGTTGCCGATTTAATAATACCATCCCACAAATGATTTTTATTTTCGAATCTTTGTTTAACCGTATCCCAATGTTCAGTTAAGAATTCGAATAACGTTGTGTATCCAGCTACACCACTGGTTAACATGTTGAATATCAAGTGAATATCGGAATCGGTGAAATTATCATTTTGATCGAGTATCGTTACGTTTAAAAGCCTATACAATCGAAACAATCATTATTATTTAATTATTTATAACAATTGGTATAATATGTGTTTCATTGTATTTAGGTGAATCAAATGTTCGTGAGTTTATTGTTATTTTTATCGACAAAATGTTTTTTTTGTTTTCTTTTGTTTTTTTATTATTTGTTTGATAAGTCAGTAAAATTACTTTTGTCATACGAGTGAAAATATTAATTAAAGAAACAAATATAGCGTAATTTTGTTTATTTGTTTGTTTGATAAGTCAATAAAATTACTTTTGTCATACAAGTGAAAATATTAATTATTGAACAAAATTATTGTTGCTTTGAATAATGCAATTTTCTTTTTGAAATGTCAATAAAATTACTTTTATCATGTACGTGAAAATATTAATTAATAAACAAAATTATTGTTGCTTTGGATAATGCAATTTTCTTTTTGAAAAGTCAATAAAATTACTTTTGTCATACGAGTGAAAATATTAATTAATAAACAAAATTATTGTTGCTTTGGATAATGCAATTTTTTTTTGTTGAAATGACAATAAAATTACTTTTGTTATGCGAATGAAAATTGTAATGAAAGTAAAATAAACAAAATAATGCACAAACTGTTTTGGATTCACCATAACACATCATATAAATAAATAATATTTGATTTACCTTTGAATTTTGTATGTATCTTGAGGACAGCCAGCTAAAGTTTTCAAAAGATAGGTACGTTCGTTTTGTTTTCTTTCAGGACTGTTTAATGGGAAATTAATAACCCTTTGTAAACCAAATTCCCATTCCTCGTTGGTACCCCATTTGAATACGGGACAAATGTATTCGTTGGCTACCCTAGAAAATTATTTGGATTATTAAAAAAATAGTTGATTTTTGTAGATATTGTTATTTATATATTTATAATAGAAAGAATCAGTTTTTTTTAATTACGGATTTCCTTTATCAGGTTCTGGTTCCATCAACCATTTGTTAAATTGTTCTTTTGCTTCTATGATGCATGGTCCGTAACCAGCACGGTATAAAAAGTTTTTAGCTAAACCACGTATGTGAACCTTCCATGATGGTTCGTTTGGTTCTGGTTTGTCACCCAATTCGTCGTAAAGTGGTTTTATTAGGCTACGAATGTAAACCTAAAAAAAATCATAAATTAAATAAATAAATAAATAAATATATTAATTATGTGATAAATTATTTAGATGTGTTTTGTTCAAAATGAAATATTATTAATTATTATATATATATATACTAATTAGATTATTTTATAACTGTTTTTTTAATTTTTATAAAATTATATATAATAATGATAGAAAAGTATGAATTTTGTTTGTAGGTTGACAAGTTCAGTGTTACGAATATTATTAAGATTATTATAGTTTTCTTTTTTTTTTTAAAAATATTGTATAATGTATACCTCAAATTTGTCATATACGTCAGATCCTTCGATACGTTTACCAATATGATCGATCATAGTAAATACAGGTTCCCAAACAACGTGACTCCTTTCTTCTTTTAAGAACAGTGTCATGTTCAATGCTATTCCAAAACATAGTTCACCAGCGTATGCCAAATTCCAGGAATCGTGGAGTAACTTTGCCCTAGTCAATACTGGAATATTTGTACGTTGTGGTCCTTGCAAAAATTGTGATAACATTTTCCAATTGCAGTGATCGTAATTAACCGGGAACATTCCTACAATCAAAATGGTGTATTCATTTTTATTTTGTTTCATTTTATTTTTTTTATAATTAAATATCAAGGATTCTAGGATTAAATTATATGCAATCTTATGCAATTATATTCGTAAGTTAGATTTTTTTCGATTAATTCAAGAGATTAAATAATTTAATATGCGATTAAAATTCATTAAAAGAGATTGGCCATAAAAATTCACAAAATTGTAATAATTTAATTGAAATTCGAATGCTAGATATAATAAAATATTGTTAAACGAATGATAAATTAATTTATAAGATAAACAAATTGAAAAATCTCTATACACTCATGTGTACTTCAATATAATAATAATTTTAAAAATATAATTAA